TGATTAATCACATCTAAACTATTTGAAAGCGCCCATTACTAATTTCTTATATTATTAAGAAGTAAGGTATTTAGATAATGCAATTAAATTAGGTTCATAGAAAAATGTTTTACTCCTGACGTTTACCATGTAGGATGCTAAATATTTTATTATTCAAAAGTAGCTATCCCTTACGGATATAAGGGCTGACAATAAGCCACTGTGACCTCTTTCTGACTGGCATAATTTAATTTTTCCTTTTTAGGGAACTTTGGGTTGACACGTCTGTCATTCAAATCTGCACATCTATCGCTTAATAATTTGTTTAGGCTACCTATTTTATGAGAAAGGTATAAACATGTTACAAAAATACAACTATTAACTGAATGATACATACGTCCGTGAAGTTACCCCTTCCCCCCCCCCTTTCTCCGATCGGTTTCAAACCAGAGTTGTCGTATTTTCAAAACTAATTTGCAACTTCACAGTTTCGTCAGAATCAATTGTTTTCATTGGTTAAAATTAAAGGGGAACCCCTTTGCCTAAATGCATATTAATATTATTTTTTATACAAAAATTTGATCAAAGCGCTTAGTTATCCGTTAACAGTAAGTCACATTTTGAGATACACATGATGTATAAATTAATTAATTATGTATATTATATTGTGGTTTTTATACGTATATATGTCTAATCAGACATTTTTTCAATTTGTTGGAACTATTTTCATATTCACTATTTTTGTTTGATGTGCATCAAGTTACGTGCGTCGTCAAGACAAGCTACAGCCATGTCCGCAAAAATAATAATTGGTAGCAAATTATAGAAAAAATTGCGTGTGAAAGTGTAAAAAAGAATTTAGGTAAAGGGGTTCCCTAAAGTCAAAATCCCACAGTTTATATCTGGCGAGAAAAGATTTTAACGGGAAAACGGAAAGGCAATTTTTGACGGAAACCGACGACACCCATCTAGATAATTAATTTTCATCTCAAAAACCGATTGAAACAGAGACGGTGTATTAGGCAGGCACTTGTACTTGATTCGTTGTTGTGAATTTAATCCATATAATGAGCACCACCGTACCAGTACCACTCATCATAGTCACTTTTGCCGCACGGTTCCGACATAATACGTTTCCGACGAATTATTTTTTGACAAAATACGGTTTCAACGAATTTGTCCGCATTTATCTCTGGACAGACATTCCTCTGACCGTTTTGATATATGGACATTTTTACCCGGACATATTTCTTCCATTGTCGTTTGGCATTGGTTTGGCCGACTACCATTTCCACGAGACACGTAACGAACTCAATTGAAATGCTACGGTAAAAATCCGTTTTTGAACTGTATGGCAAGTCGAAAGTCGGTATAATCGTATTATGATATATTAAGACTCGTATACATACCTCACAAAAAAAAAAAAAAAATACATATATGTAATGGGTAATAAAGAGGAAGAATAACTGTAAAAACGATATAATATAAATTATATTTTGTACCATAAAGTAATAAAATTTACATTGTATTTTTATTTTTTATTTTATTCTATACGTATAATGTAAATCTCGGTGAACAACACTTTTTATAGTTTATGACTCTGGGTACTTACTGCGTTTTTTTTTTTTTTTATTGTCCCGTGTGCCCCGATGACTTATAAGTTGTTCAATTTTTCCGGCGCGGTACCTACCAATAATAATGTCGGAAAACCCACGTGAACGTAATAGCGGTTTTTCAATAACAAACATATTATAATATTATGTGTAATTTGTTGTTTCGAATGATAAGAGTATAAGACGTCCGTTTTTCGTATTAAATATGAAATTCAAAATCAGTGTCCGCAGCACTGTCATATGTGTAAGAAATATTTTCACGGCATGCCAATCAACCACAGACATCAACAATTAGATATTCGTTAGGGGACCGATGGGTGGAGGGGGAGGATATAATCGTGACTTATTATATGACATTCTCGAGGTCGAAAGCAGGAAATCAATATTTTGGGAAGGAACGAAAAAATGTCCATTACCATTTTAGTATCACCTTAGTATCGTTGTAAATCACTTTATTAATAACATTATTACAGATTAAAAATTAAAGGGTAATTTATATTTTGGAAGACGAATTAATACCCATCCCCCGCCCCTATATCTTGCGTATACAAATGAGAACAGTGCAATGACAAATACAAATATTTCCTTGTGGCCTCCTCAATTATTTATTTACGACTCATTTTTACAGAACATGTGTTGAAAATACGTCTATGTTCATTTTGTTTAGAACTTCAGCAACAACACTTTTTGGAGTACTATCAGAAAAATTTAAGCGAAATTTTTTCCGTTTGTCAATCCACTGCAGTTTCCATTCACATACATTACAGTTACATCATTAGTTATACGCACAATCAAATGTTTTAATTGAACTTGAAATTGAAGAACATGACATGGCAAGTCCAGAATCAATGTTTGATAGTTTCGAGTGACGCATAAATGCTACACAATTAGTGCAACAGCAAAAAATAGTATTTTATTTCTCCTGAATAATATCGAAAAATGGACTTGTTTTGTTGTCTTACTAAGTATTTCAGTTTAACTGTGAGCCATGTCTTAGGTGCATATATATATACATATCATATATTATTGTTGTAAGGTAGTTTTAACTGACGGCGTAAATAGGTAGAAAAGTGAAATAACCACTAAAAATCTAGACGGAATATTCTGTGCCTTTAGCTTCACATGTCTCAATAAATTATGCTCCACTAACTAAACTTGTACGTAGGATTCTTTCGAAAGAATAATCGATTTGAATTCCGGTGTAAATTACAATTCCTATTTCTTACTACCCGAAATGGTGCAATTTGCATAACTTTATTTTGGTACAGTTAAAATACGCTGGTGCAAATTGCACGTGTTGTGTACCCATATTTAAAATCAATTTCGGTGCAAATTGATTACACCCGAATTAGATATTAATACCAGGAATTTTTCAGGGTTTTCATTCCTAGTGGGAATCGCGGAACGATCGAAACCCGGTGGAAACCTCCGGTAATTTCGGACGACGAAAAACGAGACGGACCCGGCGACGAGAAAACGCGTCGGCCGGACCGACGCGATGAAACAAGAGTGAAACCGGCGGCGGTGGTGTTTTACCGAGACGTCTGTCTGTAATGCCGCAGACGTTTATGTATTATTATTTCAATACGGAGTCGCGAGACTAATAATATTATTGCATTAGTAACACATCTCGAGCGTGCGTGTAGGCACATCATCTTGTTTGAAGTTGTTTGTAAAGAAAGTCTAGACGTCCGAAATCACGTTTGCGGTAATTCAACGTCCGTGCAAACAAACCGGCAGCGCTATACCCGTCGACCCGTTGACGCGAAAACGCTTCGGTAGCTGTCCGAAACTGTCCAGACGACTCTCGTCCGTCGCGCGATCTTTACCGGCTGCGCGTCGTCTACAATCACGGTAACATAATAGGCACCTATAATAATATAGACGGTGTTTTTTTCTTTCTCCGCAATCGCAATAATATTTTTATTGTATTTGTAAATATCGCCGACGGCGTGGAAAACCGCGACGGAAAACATAATTCCCGTGTCCGCATAACGGTTTTATTCGGCCGGAAGTCCGCGCGCGAACACCGGCGACCGAAATAGTCATACGGTGTACAGTTGTGAACACACAGGATTGACGAACGCAGTTGGACATGATGAGTATTATGAATGTATCGATGATAATGTATAACAATATCGAAAAGTCATAATTCATAATCGTCCGGGGTTGAATTGGCACGACGTGAATTTCGAGATACTCTAAAGGTGAAAGAAATCGTCTATTTTTTTTTTCTACTATAGTTTGTTTACAGTTATATTTTATCGAAATAATAATATGAATTCGTAAATATGTGTACCTGTAATCAAGTTCAAAACCAGATCACGCGTATTGATTTTCTGTTCTGTTCTGACAATTTAAAAAAAAAAAATATTGACATTTTTTTCAAATTGTCGGTATTATTTCCCGTCGCTAAAGAGTTCAGCTGATAGGTAGTTATAGATATTGAATTATTTCCAAAGTGTCTGGGTATAATATTTAGTTTAGTAAAAACTGCAGTAGGTATTTAATGTGATTCTGCGAAATGGGTCTAGACGATGTGGGCCTAAATCGTTAACGCCACGGCGCGACCGCCGTGCAGCGAGATACTCAACAGCGCGGTCTACAGGAGGTTAATGCACATTAATCATTGACGGAAGTGTCAAGTTTATTAATACGAATTGGTCGACATTTATTTTATTTTATTTATTTCAATTTCAGTTTAGTATCTAAAATCCTAAAATGTAACTCGTCGTTAACCGTGGAGTCCGATAATTTCGATTAGTACGTAACTACTAATTAATATGGCACAGCCAATTATTATAAATTACAATCCAGTACCATTGATTATTGAACAGACTGTTCCATTATGCTCTATAATCAATGCTAGTGAAGTGTCACCGGCGATTAATAATCGTAATTGTAAATTATTAATTTAAAGATTTTAAATTGTTGTCCATTTTTTCCTTGTTTTTTTTTTTTTTTTCCATTGGTCTATTTAGCTGTTATTTTAGATTTTGAACGGAAACGAGGGCGTTGTGCAATATTAATGACAACGGTCAAGAATATTGAATAATGTAAATACATAAAATGTATTTATACCAACTGGATGTCTGAGGGAATAAAAAAAAAACAAAAAAAAAAATACTGTTATATTGATTGTGAACGGGCACAAGCCTCGATTATCATAAAACTGGGCTAAATATATTAATGTTAGTTGCGCATCATCGCGGTCCCTTTCGGACACGTACGAGTAATAACAATTAACATATCGGCGGACTATCTGGTCCGATGTAAGTAACGACAGTAGCAACAAACACAGCTGCAGTAGCAACAACAACAAATATAGGTACGGATCATGAGATCAATGTTGAACACTGATTACACAATTTTTTTTTTTTCTACTCGTTTTGTGTGACTTCCAACACTTCAGGATGACTTTCGACAATATTCAGCAGAACATTGCCGATATACGTGCGCAACTGGTGGTTGCTTTTCTTTTGGTCTTTTCAGAGCGGTCTTCACCTGAAATAGTAAACAATTGTAAAAAAAAAGCTTATAAACATTATATATTTAACGGCAACGCAAACGATCCGTTATAAACCCACGGATAATGCGAGTATAGTAACAAAACAATAATAAAATATGATTAAAAATATCTATGTAACAATGCTATACATATTGTAAAACAAACAAATATTTTTATAAAACGGACATACTTCGCACGATGAGTGTGCACGAACAGCCACTGTTTTCGGTGAGAAGTTGAGAAGGTAAGACGTTGAGGGGAAATGAATTTGTATCTGTAAGAGGACAATTTTCTTTCAGAAAGGGTCTACATCGTATACACCGGAGTAAGTTTTTTGGTAGAAAACTTGAATCGTTGCAAAATTATTAAGACGTCCGTAGTAAATCGTGTTGTAATGATTTGCTCGCATGATTGTGTTACTACATAAGTAATAGTAAATATTATTATTACCATAAATTATAGTGATAGCGTGATAGCCGCTTTTTACACGCGTTATGTTAGCCGTCGCTGTTTCCGCCGCCGCCATCCGCCAAGAAGGAAACCGTCGATAGACGTTAGAATCTGGATTTCTCTTTCTCTGGAAATCTAAATGATTTTATGCTGTCACCAGCGCAATGGTTCGGTGGACATACTTTATCGCGCACGATAATTGATCAAATCCTATCGATTTCGTTCAAAAGTACCGGTAAGTTATGATGATGGTATGTCACGTACGAAAATTAATCGAATGATTTCAAAAATTATCCCCCTGTATTCTGTGTGAACATACAGACGTATATCCGTCCGGGTACGGTTCGAATTCGAATCGGTAACACCCGCCGGACACGTCGTCGGTCGTCACGTCTTCAATGTTGAGTAAGTTGAGTTTGAAGTTTTCATTTATGGGCGCCATAGTCCTAGCTGTAACCTGAATAAAAAGACACAAGACGACGACATTCATTAATACGGTTGTTGTTGTCGACGTCGTTTTTAACGATAACCAATGCCGGTACATCATCCGGGTTGCCACTTCTGAAAATTCTGAAAATTTTGAAAATCCTCTGTTTTTTTAAGATTTTTCCAGGCAGAATTCACATTTGCCCACACTGAAATTGTTGTATTATTTATTATACGGATATATTATACAGTTATACAAACTATCAGTAACATTTACACTAAACTAAAAGGATTCGAGTTTTATACAAAATTATATAATGTATAAATGTCATATTTATTTTATTTTGCTCCAACTTTTAATGATAGTCATTTTTCTAAAAGGAAATTTTACTGGGGAGGTACTTTAAAAAGGTCATTTTTCGATTTGTTCAAGAATTTTCCCAATAAATGTGAAAAACCGGGATAAAGCATGGGAAAACGTAGGAAAACTAGGAAAAATCGTACAACATTAAACAATTATTATTAAAGAAAATATTTAAAGCCTATTTAATTTTTTTACTATAAAATTGCATACATATTGTTGACAAAGCTGATCACTGTCAATTGAACTCCGCTCGTTTATCGTTGCTTATAGGTGTACATTGAATCACCCGTAACAGTGATTGCACCCGTCCCCATTATCCCAGGACGTCTTTTTTCGATTTAGAATAACGATGGAAAATAAAAGAATCGTGGCGCAAGGTTCTAGAAATTACTATGAAAAATGTCAAACTCTATAGGTGCATTAATCGTTTAGGTATAACTAACCTAAAAGCATTTTTTTTTTTTCCACGAGAAGATTATTATAAAAAATAAAAGTTTATGACGGTCTTTGAAAACACTTCGAAGGGTTTTCTACACGGGTCGGCTAATCCCACTTGAACGTTTGACTCTGAAAAAATGTAATTTTTATGGTTATTCCATAATAAATACTAGTAAATTATCGCCACTTTTATCGAGAGGTCTGAGAAACGGCCATCGGACGCCCACCACGGATCACGTTTACAAAACACATTATCGTATTATCCGAGAGGTATTCTGTTTACGATTGAAATGCCGGTTTCAGTCCGGCGGCGGCGGGTCGGAAATCAAGTGGACGCCCCGTGGGAAAATTACGTTATTCACGCGGACCGCGGCGCGCGGATGGCGCGAACCAGGCGGAATATCGCGCGACTCGAATCCCTTGGAACCGACCGAAACCGCCGTGAAAGTGACGTGAAACGCGGTACGAGAAAACGGATTCGCGAAACGTCTCGAAAAGCGCGCGCCGCGTGTTTGCCCGGGTAAAATTCGAAAAGTGCGCTCGCGTCCAAGCGCGGACGAAACTCTCCCCGTACCCGCGGTGTGTTCTACGGGCGGTGTGTGGGGCCGGCTTACGTTTGGACCACCCGGCGTCGGTTTCCCGACCTTCTCGGAAACCGGTGGCGGGGAACGGTGACGTTTCGCCATGTCGCGCGCATGCGGCGGAAGTGGCCCGTCACAAGTGCCCCTCCTTTGCGTTTGACGCAGTCGGGTTCGCACGCGCCCTCGGTCGCGCCTGACGGTCGCGTCGGCGGCACCGTCATTTGCACCGCGACAAAGGCTGCAGTCTCGCGTCACCCCCCCCCCCCCCCCCCNCCCCCCGCCCGCCCGCCGACCCGGTTCGCTGCGGTTTCAAACCGTGTGTGCGTGACACGGGATCCGACCCACCGGGGGCCGTAATACGTAATTTTGCGAAAACACTTCCGCGCCGAGCCGGCGTGATGACGTCGCGATAAATTGTGCTCTCGAACGGTACATGAATCGCAGCTGTATACTCACACCGACATCGTACGGACATCGACGGGTTTTTAACGACTGTTTAGTATTTATAGTAGAACAAAAAAAAAAAAGAAAAAGGATTTTTATTTTTATAATACGACTTCAGTCATTCGTACCATTAAGCTTCGACGTGGCATTGGTGGTTAGTTGGTTGACTTGACTGAGGGCCCATAAGACCATTTTAAAATTATCGGTCTGTCTGATTCTCGACTCTAACCAGACGTACGTGTTTCGTACCTAATATTCTGAGGTGACTTCAGACGTTAAAACCAAAACAAATTTCACTGACAGTGAGTCATAATTTTGACTTGGGTGATTTGTACCAACAAAATAAACAAATGTAAACAATTTTTATTCTACCAGTAGGTACTATTGGCCGAAAATGTCAATTTTTGACGTAACACATTTATACCATACACCAAAGATATTATGTTTAAATACTAACAATAAACATTTGTTTTCGCACTTAAACATTTGTTTATTTGCAATACTTATGAGTTTGAAAAGTTTTACAATGTACTACTACATGATATGTACTTAAATTTATACCAAGTTGTGTACCCCAAGTTTAATTTGGTGAGTCTTTAGGGGTGTACCAAACCAAAAAACACCTTCCTCCGGTAACAACGTATTATGTTGTAATAAAATTCAATACAAATATTATCGTTTCAATAATCCAACAAAACAACTCTACTAGTTTTAGCTCATTCGGTTCAGAGTTAGCCGTTGTGTCCGAAACAAATTATATAATAAATACAATACTACAGTCTAGTGTAGTTTTCTGTTTTCGGGGAAAATTCGACAAAAATCGCATTAGACAAAATTGTAAAAAATCTTAATTATTGTCTTGAGTCCTTCTTTCCTGAAACTAAGGGTTTTATATCCCATAGCGTTCAAATTTCTCGTCTATACAAACGATGACCGACCTTCACAGTGTGAACTGCGAAATGTGTCCGTATTTTTGACGAATTTTCCACCAAAATAGACTACTGCACTGTATCGTGTCAGGTGCTTGTTATATACATATATTTATATTTGTTCCGGTACATTTGGACAGTTTCAGCGGCTCCGTCTAGACAAAAAGATCGCAGACTCGGGAATTAGTGGTTTTTATAGACTATTGAAGTGATACATTTTTGGTTCAATTTCAATACGAACTTAACCATGTTGTTGCGGGAGAGAGGTTTTTTTTAGCTTTGTGCACTCCGACAGACCTCCAAATGAAACTAGGCGCATGAAATATCGTACACGCATGGTGCGAGTATCAATGATATGCCCTTTTTAGTGGTTTCAACTTTCAATCCCCTCTACGTCCAATTTTATGCTTAGATTTGGTGTCTTCGCGGAAAATGGCGAGTTTTAAATAATGCGGACGCATAAATATACATGTTTTCTTACATTTTTTTTTTTTTTAATGCTAAATAATCGAGCTTGTTTCGTAATAATACTTGAGAGAACGTGTTGTTGTTGTTGTTATTGTCGTCGTCGTCGTAAGAAGAGCTGTCGGCGTTCGATCGTCAATGCGATTCCGCGGGATCCGACGAATCCGGTCGCGCCGCGCGGAGACGTCACGCGGCGAACACCGCCCGATAATCGACAATATATATTCTTCAGAATAGATTTCAATCGGACGACAGTGCCCGCGCACTGTGGAAATACGCCATACGTAATGTAACAATATTATTATTATTATTTTATTTTTATTTTTTTCATATTACGGTGTTGTATACTTAGGCGTCCCGGGCACACGCTGTACACGTACGACGTTGACGACGCACGCCGCGGGGAATCGATCCGACTGCACATCTGCACTGTCTGTCTGGCCCCGGGTGTCTACGAGCGGTCCGCGATAACGCGTGCATCGGTCTACGCTATTATTATTACATAACGAAACGATAATAGTATTATTGTTGTGCGCAAAAGACGAACATCAACAATGGATTAAAAAGATACGTCCGGATTCGTGTTTTGAGTTCGGTGCGACGAGAGGCGAGCGACCGCGTAGCGATATTATATAATATTATCATGAGCGCAGGCACCGTGCAGGAGGGACACTGTGTAAACGTATAAAAACGCATCCGTCCAAAAATAAAAACTCACGACTAAGTGAAAGGTATATTTTGACTGTCTAGAGGTGGGGGGAGGGGTGGTGGAGAGGCTATAGGCTCAGGCAACTTACCAAGTACGACGACCAACATGACCTTTAAAAAGACCTTCGGTAGAACACAAGGAAAAACGAAAGGTACCCCAGAGACGTTACCTAGAAGCGTTACCAATAAGCTCATTTCAACGACAATGGGATGAAAATCCGATCACACTAAGAGGACCGCGACTGTTATATTTAATATTATTTATAATATAATTTTAATCTGTATGCCCAACAATAAATAGAATAAATTCTTAGTGGACTAATATAGATAAGTCGTGTTTAACAAACAAATATCAGAAATTGTTTAAGGGCAATAGTCGCCCGTGCCCCGGACACCACCCGAAAGCCAACAAAATTAGAGTGGCTTTCACTCCGTGGAGCTACGGCCACCGCGGCACCTCTGGTTGTCCGAATGCCGTTGTCCGTATCGGCCCCAACCTTTGCTCCAGACGCAACGAACGTCACCCGACCGGACGGCTCGGTGTGCGCTCACCTTTTCTGCCACTTGCTACTCACATCAAGACGTTCGACCGAACGCACACCGAGTTTGGCCGTTAGGTAGGCAGAAAGTCTGCATCCGTTCTCTCATTGAGCGAGCCGCTATCGTAGAGCTCAGAAATGTCGCGTGCGAGTTCTCCCAACGGATCAGTACTCAGTCCACGCAACATTCCGCTAAGGCGGTCTGGACATCTAGGACAGGTTGCATGCAGGTTCTCACGACTGATCAACACCTAGTCTGTGCGACGAAAAGAGCTCGACAGTATGGATAAGTAACGATTTACAGGGTAAAGTATTAGACGTTCAACAACAACAGTTAAATATCTTAAATGATAAATAAACAACGAAAAAGATCGGTAAAGATTAAATGGCAAAACAACAAGAGAGCGAGGAAAAATGACAATAACAATGGTGACGGTGACGAGGTCGGCGGTCGCCGGCGAGAGTGGCGGCCGGACGACAGTGAAATGGTTAAATTCGAACAAGAATGAGTTGTTGTCGACGTCGTAAATGTCATCTTCTGCGCCATCTGTCGCCTTTTACGGCTGACTTCTGGCATTAATGGTGGTGGTATCGTTTTGTGCGTTTGCATATCACCCCGGGCGAATCCTTCAAACCACCTTAAATGCAAA